ACACAGTAACTTTTCTTTTCAATTCTACATTAAAGTGTAATCTTTTTGAAGTTATTTTAAGTTAATCTAATGGACTCAAATTTAAATATAAATGTCTATGGTACTCTGCAAATAACTCAACCAAAGTGACAATTAGATGATAGAAATTTCTGTACAGGGCTAAATTTCTATGTACATATAAAATGGTAACCATGTAAAAGTTTCTTTTCATGCATAATTCTTATGGGCAGTAGGCAATTCCAGTCATTAAAATGTAAAAAGGGGGAAAAATCCTGCAAAGATACAACTCTGCCTGTACTATAAAGGATCTATTTCTTTTTTAACACAGGGAACAAGTAGTTTTACATAAAAAAAAAATTCACACCATACACACACACACACACACACACACACACACAGTATCTGTTCCAGAAAGTTTAAAGATTTAAATATGAAATGCAAAACTTTAACACTCTCAGAAAAAAATACAGGATTTAAAAAAATAATGAATAACATCTGAAAAGATGTTCAACCTCATTAGTAACCAGAGAAATATAAACAATGAATGAGAGCATCAGATTGATATAAATTAAGAAGTCTGATAATACCCAGTGATATTGAAGAGATGGAAAAAATAGAAACACTATTGCACTATAATTTTATAACACAGCAATTTGGCAATATCTACAGCAGTGGTTCCCAAATTTTGTTTTGACTACTTAACCCAATCAGTAAAACATGTGAGCACAAGTCCTCTGTATGGATACTTATTTATAAATTATATCATATAATGTGTACTTATATATCATGCATTTCATAAAACATGAAAAAAGTTGAACTCTTTTAAATTTAGATTTTCAAGATAAATATATAAATGTTTCTAATATTTTTTCAAATCTCTGCTTTAGATATCTCTAGAAAACTCTCAACAGGCCCAACGGCCAGTCAGCAATCTCACAATTTAAAAATTCTACATTTCCAAGAAGCAACTCCTAACCTGGCTGAGTTGACAAACTTCTAAAAGAGAATCTCAAAAAAAAAAAAAAAAAAGAATCGTAAGCCCTACTCCCAAAGATTCTGACTTAGAAAATGTTGATACCCATTTGTGGCTGATGCTCAGATATGGAAACCACTGCTCTAAGAGACCAACCCTGGCCAAAGGACCACAGAGTCAATTACGACAATGATTACATCTATTTGGTCCTAATATTAACGCCTCTTCTTAACTAGGCTAATTCCTGACCGTCTCATCTCTCTGATAAATTCTGATTGGTAAGATTTCAATTACTCTTCTGATCTCAATCAGAGAGATTGCTTATCCCAATTGTTTGGTTTCAGATGGAAGAGAAGTGTTTCCAAGGGATTTTTATCCATAGAGAGACTGCCCTAGGTAACAGACTATCCCTTTTAAGGTAAGTTCTCTCTTCTTCCCATAGTAGCAATGCAAGCACAAAATAGCTCTTAGAGCTTCCAGCTGGTCTCAATGCAGAAAAGCCTTTAACTATTTCTTGTCCACTACCTATATTTAATTTTATTCCCACAGTTACATTTGTGTGTGTGTTGTAAATGATTGAGGAGAATATAACCCTGCAATCTATTCCCAGGGCCTCATCTTAAAGACTAAACTACATCCATACTCAAGTATGGTTTATCAAATGTTTGCATAAGCCACTGTGTTATAATGTATCAAGAGGAGATTTTCACTAAGCCAGCTGATTAGCATTCATTAAAATAGATTAAAGTATTTACTCTGGTTCTCTGACCCACTCTGACCAGCCTCACCATTTACTTAAGTCCTTCTTGCCTGATTTGGTATTAATTTTTAATCTCTCTTTGGTCACCAGTCTTTGTTTCCATCTCCACCCTCCAGAAACACCTGTCCAAATGATAGGAGTGATAATATCAGGCCTATAGCTAACTATAGGTGGATTGCTGTGAATGGAACAATGGGGCACTCGTGGTAGAAGGGGACTCCAACCCATTCTGTTCCCCAAATACAGTTGCAGTGCCTACAAAATCACATATACATAGCTACTGATAAAGTTTCACTTGTGGAACAAGCCAAAACTCTCTTTCACATTTAAAAAAATATATTATTTTCTTAAAGAATTCATTTTTGACATATGAAACCTGAAAAAAAAAAACTAGACTTGAAAATAACGAGTTTTTAAAATTATTTTACCCACTGAAATTGAGATAACTATAACTTTGAACTCATTAATCTTAGATTTAGGAATTTATCCTAAGGAAATATCGAGATGCATCCAAGGATTTACATTCAATGGTATTCTGCTGAATGTTACTATAAAAAGGAAAAATTGCCCTGGCTGGGTGGCTTAGTTGATTGAGGCATTGTCTGTACATCAAAAGGTTGCAGGTTCAATCTCTGGTAGGGGTGTGTATGAGAGGCAATGGACCAATGTTTCTTTCTCACATAGATGTGTCTATCTCTCTCCCCCCACTCCCATTTTCTCTCTCTAAAAATCAATAAAAGCATATCCTTGAGTGATGATTTAAAAAGAAAAAAGAAAAAATTGAGCCACACTCTAAATGTTCAACAATAGAAATTTTTTTAAATAAATTGTGGTATGTTCATTTGATTAACCTTTAAAATCATGTTAATGAATAATATTTAAAGAAAGAATATCACATGGTGAGAGAAAAAGCAAATAGTAAAACACTATTGGATTTCTACAAATTTTGATATCAATTTTGTAAAAGAAAAAATGCCTGTGCGCATTTCTTTTAAAAGATTGAAAAGATATATAACAAAATATTTGTAATTATCTCTGATAAAATTTCAAGTGAAAGTTTCCCCAAATTTTTTACAATAAACATTTTTTAACTTTATACAGATACACACACATATTTTGGTATGTTGGAACACTAAAAAATTATTTTATTATGAAAGAATGCTTTGGTCCCTAAATCACTTTGATTTAAATCAGTGCAACCATAACTTTCAACAGTTTATTACAGAGACTACTCAGTGTGTACATATTATTATTCATATTACTAACTTAATTATCATGAAATGTTTATTTAAGTCTCATTTGTTTGCATAGACATATAAATAATATTCTGGTATTGTTTTTATTTCACCTACTTTTCTTATTATTTGAGCATATGTGAAAATAATAAAAACAAAAATATTATCTAACATCTAGTACTAAAGACCAATAAGCATTTAAAGGAGCCTGCTAGCTGAAACCGGTTTGGCTCAGTGGATAGAGCGTCGGCCTGCGGACTGGGGGGTCCCGGGTTCGATTCCGGTCGGGGGCATGTACCTGGGTTGCGGGCACATCCCCAGATGGGGATGTGCAGGAGGCGGCTGATTGATGTTTCTCTCTCATCGATGTTTCTGACTCACTATCTCTCTCCCTTCCTCTCTGTAAAAAATCAATAAAATATATAAAAATAAACTAAAGGAGCCTGCTAATAATAATATTATTTCTTCTGTTGGGACAGATAAATTTTAAGACAGTTCATCAGAACAATAAATGACTTCTGCTATGCAATGATACAACTCAGGTTTCCCATAATCCTGAATTATCTGTCCTTATATTAAACAGTGTCACCTTATATAATTGTTTGGGCCATAAATTATTAAGTCAAAAATTATCAAAAGGAGAGTTACAGCTTATCCTATCTAATAATAGACAAACATGGTAATTAACCATACCTCCAATACGCTTCCCATTGGCTAATCAGGGTGATATGCAAATTAAGTGCCAACCAAGATGGCGGCCAGCAGCCAGGCAGCTGAAGCGAACAGGAGGCTTGCTTGCTCCAGTGAAGGAGGAAGCAAGGTTCCCTAGCCTGCCGCTGCTGGCCTCTCAGCTGCAGTCTAAGCAACTATGTTGCAATTATAGAACCTAAACAAACCCCAGAAACCTGCTTTCAGCCAGCCAGGCTTCAGCCAGCAGGACTGCAACAGTGTTTCAATTATAGAAGCCAAACAAAGCCCAGATACCTGCTTTCAGCAGCCGAGGTCTCAGAGCTAGAGCCGGCTTC